CGGGTGGTATTTAAGAGGGGGGGGGGGAGGCAGCGGCTTGGGGAAGGGGGCGCCGGGTCAGGGTCGGCCTCGGGAGGCGTGCCCCGGCCGAACTCGGCGGCGGCGAGTCGGACTCCCGCGGGGAAGGCGGCGACGGCGCGGGCCTGGCCTGGCTCGGCTGGGCCTTTGGCCTAGTCAGGCGCGCGGTACTCTTTTTTAAACAAATTCCGCCGAAACTAAGAAAATTTCTAGAAAATAAAATAAAATTCTAAAAGTGCCAAAATAAATTTTCACCGTCTAAATAAAATATTTAGACCGAGATGAACATTTTTTGTCCCTAAAATGTAGTTTTGAAAAACGTGTAGTTTTTCCTAAATTCAAAAAGAACTAGCCAAAACTCTGAAATAAAAACTTATTCGATTTTTTTATTAAATCCTCAATATTTCTTCATTTTGGGAAAGTCATTTTATTTCCTCTCTCATATTTTTATAATATAAATAATTGAAGATAAAATAAATAAAATCAAATGATCCTATTTTCAAATTTTGAGAAAACTCATATATGAAAATAACGAAATCCCCAACTCTCTCCGTGGGTCCTTGAGTGGCGTAGAATTTCTGGATCAGGCCAAAAGCAATAAAGTATGATATGCAGATGATCTAATGTATAAAAAAATCGGCGGCGTCAAAAAATCGGCCCAATCGCGCCCCCAAGGGCCCAATTTTCGCCGGCTCGGGCCGAAATTGGCGCCGGCGGACCCAATCCGAACCCGGCGCGCTGGGGGCGCTCGGGGGCACCGGGCGAATCGTTTTTGGCGCGAAAGAGCCGCGAGCCCTCCTTGCCAGCGACTTGTCTTGCTTCTCGCCGCTTCGTCGTCCTCATCGACTCGTTTCCCGCGGCAAATCAATGCCAAAGCTGCCGCGCACTGCCGCGCCGGTCAGCCTCCGCCATTGATACCTCTCTGGCGGCGCAGTGAAGGCGTAACGATGCGCGTCCCCGCGCATGCCACGCATAGATGAGGCGGCCATGCGTGCTCGCGCCGCCTCCACGTATATAAGTCGACCCCAGCGCGCCGGTGGCATGCATAGAGTC